AGGCAGTGGACAGCCCAGGGGCGGCTTCAGCCCCTCCACACATCTCCCTGCAGCAGTGCTGGGAGAGGGGCCGTGCTGCCCCAGCTGCACCTGGGCATCACTGGGGGGCAATCCCTGATCCTCTTCCTCTTTCTCGTTCTTCAGACTGGGGGCTGGGCAAATAGTCCTTTTAATCCCCCGAACAGCCTTTTTCCCACATGATTAACTCTTCTGCATGCATGACATCCGCCTTTTCTCGGATGAAAGCCCTCCTGCCAGTGCTGGGACTGGGGAGCTGGCTCCCTGGCTTACCAGCTGCTCTCAGCCCATGCAACCCAGGCTTTCCTGCTGGGAACACTCCTACGAGAGGAGGCTTTCATGAGATCCTTGTGTCCGATCTCTAGGTGGGGAGCGGAGCTGTGTGGCAGCAAGGAGGGTGGATATCTCTACTCTTCTGCAGGCAGGCACAGCCTGTCCTGCTCGACAGCTGTGAGCTCCCATGGAAAAGGCATGTACCAGCAGACAGTCTCAGCTTGAGCATCAGCAGTTTGGGCTCAGCTGGCTCTTCCTCTGCAGGAACGACACAGGGCAGATGAGTGGCTGGTCAGATTAATTCTCTGTTGCCCAGCATGAATGGAGGTCAAGGCGGCGAGTGCAGGGCACAGAGACTCTGCTCCTGCTGCCCCACTCAGGACATCCACCTCAGAGGGGAGAAGGGAAGGGAGGTTTCCACTTGGCTGGCACCCACCTCCTGCAGTTGGTTCAACCACACAGCCATATCCCAGTGACATCCTGGAGCAGGGAGGGGTTTGTATGCCACTGGTCCGAGGCTGGGGCCAGTGCCTTTGACAACAAATCCGTACCTCTCCATAACCTCCTGTTCCAAGGCAGGCTGATCCACTCCCTGTTTTTCAGACAGAAAAGCTGTCACTTCTACACAACAACTTTGCACTCAAAGGTTGCCAACAGGCTAGTGGCTGTTTTCCAAGTCAGAGTGCTCAGCATCACCAAGGGAGAAAGTGCCCTCTAGGCAGGGGCAAGCCTCTCATCTGAAGACAACATCAGGAGCTGTGTAAAGATGCTGTCAGCTGCCCGAAGCATCGGGAAACCAAAGTGTTTTTGCAAGGTTTAGGAGAAAGCTTTGAAGCTGAACGATCTTCAGGAAGGTGATAAGTGTACAAACTGGCAGGTTAAATTAGGATATCATGAAGTGTTATTTTTGAAGGCTACAGTCAAAATCAAGACCATGTTGAGAAGGCAGAAGAAAGGCAACGACTCAGGGGCATGGTGTTCTGTATTCCTTACACCTTGTCTATTACAAAAAGCCACCTTGCCCCACCAGTGAAGGGAAGGGTATTGATCCTGTGAAACATGGCTTTTCATCCAGGCAACCCACATTTCTCATTTCAGTTTTACTAAGGTGGGAGTGAGCAGTCTCAGTTCATTTACAGTGACCGTGTGTTCGCACATCAGCACCTGCAGAGTTGTTTATATACAAGATCATAAAGAATATTAGTCCAAGGTCTAAAATTCCTGTTGGTCCACAACTGATAAAAGCTACATACTGTAATTTGTAGCAATTACAATTTAAATTATAGGAGAGAGGCAGAAGCTGATGAAGAGATAATGCCGGCTCACTCTTGCAGTTTCTCTGAAATTAAATGTTTTCCATTTAGCCATTGCTGTAGCTGATAAGATGCTTTGATACCTTCAAATTGCCACCTCTAAGGGAAAGGGAAACACAGTAGGAAGGAAGAGGACAGACCAGCAAAATCAAACTTTACCTTTTGATCTTGGGTCAAATTCGGTTCCTACTGAACCTGCTGACTTTACTCAGAACAAAGTCGAATTTGTGCTATAAAGGTGGAATTCCTCTGAACTGATGCAAACATCAATCCAGCCACAAAATATCCAGTTAAAATGCAAGTCTATTATGCTAAGTGCGTTCACAGTGCTTAATGTATTCATAAAACTGAACATACTGACATATTTGTGCTGGCAAGTGTGTACCACTCATCACTGTCAATGTACTTTAGCTTTATGTGATTTTAAAACTAGCAAGTTCAGTCTGTGAAATTAGGCATATCTAACTGCAAATTTTTCATTAGCAATTGTCTGTTAGTGTAGGAAGCTGTGGTGTCATTTTGTTGCACACATCCCTTCTTGCATGCCACATTAAAAGGAAACAAAAACCAAGAGAGGCCAAAAGGATCTACTTGTAGAAAGTCAAGCACAGATTACTCATTGTGGACAGCTGGTCACTGCATTTTCCATAAAAACTAGACATATTTAAAACAGCTCATTTCATGAGTCACAGTCACTGCACTGATGAACTAACCAAATTTCTGAGGGCATCTGAGCCTCAGAAATTTGGTCAGTTTAAGAGTATCTAGAATCACAGACTCCTACTTTTCACTGAGTTATTCCATGTCTTTGTTGTGCTTCTGCCCTTAGCTTGAAAGTAATTTCTTTTGTTTTCCCACATGTGGGAGCTTACACATGAAAAACTCTTCTGTCAAGATGTGATAACATTCCTTGCTTGGTCAAAACTGATGCCCAGTTCTTGAAAAAAATTATCAAAACAGAAGCTCCTGTGCTAAAACTGTGATTTGTATTAATTTGGGAATTATTTCATTCTCACAGTGATGAAGCAACAAGAGTTGAATCCTGCTCTGAGGCTCCTTGTGCCCACTTCACCCTTCTCTTTTGTGAACAACAGCAGAAACAATAGACTGGCTTTCCTCAAAATGTAGAACAAAGGTGGCCCTTTATGAAGGCACAGCCAGGAAAGGGTTCTCCATGAAGATCAATGTGACAGAAGCAAACATTGCACCCAGACAGAGAAATGGGTATATATAGTCTGCACAAGGCCCATGAGGTCACCCCTCCAGGTTCTTCAGCACCAGCAGAGCCCCAGGAGAATACTGGGTGCAGTTGTGAGTACCAGGCTTCAAGGTAGGCTGACAGGGAGATGCTTAGGGGTAAATACCACAGACAGACTCTGTCGAGACTTTGTGCACTGTCCTGGAAGAGAAGAGGCAAATGCTGCTGTGACAGAACAAGCTTCAGTGTAGTTTTTTTTCCACACAGAGTAAGCATTAGTTTGCAGGACAGAGTGATTGGCTTTCCTTAAAGCAAGTGGCAGAATAGCGTAAGGACTTCAGCATCTGCCCACAGTTTGCAATATTCCCTAAATAAATATTGATAAACAAGGACTACTAATTTCATTTACAATGCCAGTCTGTGGTTGGTACAACTCTGAAGGTTGTGCACAGCAAATGGTTGTGGCACCACTAATGTGGTCCCTAATTTAAAGAGGGCACTGCAGAGTTCCCAATGTTCTTCAGCACTCTAAATGTGTAGCTAATAACTGACAGCATAAACAACTTACTTATGCATGATTTGTGCTCATTCTAGCTTAGACATCAATGCTCCCTCTCAAGTAAACTGAACAGAACGGTAATGTCCCTTCTGAAATGTCAGCTTGCTGGGGATGTGGAGCTAGTGATAAACGTTGCAGATTTTCTTAAATCAGAACTTCTCTGGGTTTATCGCTTCATTTCATTGAATTTTCTTTTCTCCTCTCTTTTCTCAAACACAGCTCTTGTAAATGAAACAGTTCAGTCTCGAGCACACCATGTACCATTTTCAAAATTCATTGGCACAGCACAAACGTAAGTGAAAGCAAAAGCAACTCATTTTTTGAGGAAGCAATTCCCCTTATAGTCTATATTGCTTATTACTCACTCTCCTGTTTGTTATCAGGTGTTGCATGGCGGGTGGTTTAGAGGAAAAAAAAGGTGAAAGTACATAAAAAATATCTTGGCCACATCCTCCAGGGATATACATTGTCATCGTACCATTTGCAGGCTCTGGAGACAGGCTTTACCAAATAAAAGTGCTCTTTTTTTTACAATATGATCCTGCTGCACAGACTAGAGATTTATTTCTTCCGTATAGCACTATGCCCTTGATTAACCTCATTCGTGGTATCTATTTCAGTGAAAGAGCTAATACCAACACTGACTTCAAAGTGTTGCTAAGTGTGGTATCTGCCCGTTCATGTATCATTTGCTTCTCTCAAGCCATTTTCTGTCAGCAGAGAGTAAGCAAGATGTATGCTCTGGGTGAATCCCATATCATCATTAGCAGAAAATTATGCCAAACTGCTGTAAAGTAATTATGCAGCTACGAGGTGAGCTGGGAGGAAGACAGTGATTAAAAACTTACCTCAGAGTCAGCCCACATTGCATAATGTTTTGTTCAGAGGCTTTCAATCTATTTTCAAGTTGCTAGCCAGTGCCATAGGCTGAACAGAACCTTCTTTCAGGCCTTGAGAAGTATGCTCAGATAAGCTTGGCCCTTTTTCATCTCAAGTGCAGTTTATTTCGATATCATATAGTACAATACAGGATAACAGTAAATCTTACTGGGTAGCTCGAGGTTACTCTTGCATTGCTAAGCTGTTCTCACTGAAATCTTTCACAGGTTCTTGCAGAGGTGCTGCAGTTACAACGATCCATTGTGGTTGCACCAAGATGTGGCTATCTGTCATAGAAAGGATGTGAAAAGTGTGAAGGTTTAGAAATTATGGAATCTGAATTACCTCAATAAAACTGCCTGAGTGAGAGACCTTGGAGCAACGACTGAGGAAGCAATAGCAACACTGTATCCCCTGTATGTTCCCTTCAGCGCTGGCAAGCTTCATCTTTGACATTCCTGTGAGAAATACTTACATGTTGTGAATGGTAATTTTGAAGCACTGAGATATTATCACTCATAACTAACTTTATTAATCCTTTTCCAGAATGAAGCAGTACACCTCTCAGATCCAGAGAAGATGCAGTCCTTGTCCAGAGGGACTTACCAGCAGGACATCAAAGATAACTGTGACAGATGAAACCATGTGAGGCAAATGATCAGAGGGTTCCATAGTTTTATTTTGCATTTAGCTTTTCTTTTCCCTGCCTCCCCTAGCCTCAAGCTTCCCCTGCTCAGCTTTCTCCCTTTACTCCACTGCTTCTCCTTCCCATTCCTCCCCTTCTGCTCAGTGTTCCCAAGAGCCAGTGCTGAGTCAAGTGGATAGCCAAAGGTGCTCAATACAGACAAAATGCTGAAGGATTGTATGCTGGGAAACAAACCAGTACCCTTCAGGATGTCCTTTAGGATGGTCCTTTAGCAACTTTTACTCTATTTAAGCCTATTCCTGTTGGTGAGGAGTCTAATGGAATAATCCTAATAAGTAAATGAGTTTTCTAATATTGACCCTAAACATGACACTGAAAACAGGATGCTTAATGATCAAATACTGCCTTCATTGATGTGGGTAGCTGTTTGGTAACTGCAAACATTGTATTTTCCTTCAACACACTTCCATTCTCTGTGTACAGTTACCCACATACACAACTCCCCTTTTCTGAGGCCCAGTTCTTCTGAAAACAGGCAGAATGTTTTCACCAATGTAAATGGGAATGGGATCAGGGCACAGATAGCACTGTTTGTATGCACGACTGACTTCAAAGTAATCCACCCATGCAGTGTAGAGTCTGGCACTATTTGATGTCCTCTACTCCCAGCCAGATAGGAAACACAGGTCTGACTGGTCTCTGCTGACTTAGCACTGCCTACATGTTGTCATCTGGGTCAGGTGCACCAAACCCAGGAGCTGGTGTTTCACATACTGAATCCCTACAAAAGCTATCCTGCAGTCACATGAAGGTTCATCTGACCCCATGTTGGCCATCCCTCGGAAATCTACTCTAGTTTTATTGTTAAAAAATGTAAGGAAGGTTTTTTCAAAGAGTTGTGAAAGACTGGCTACAAGGGCACATAGTGACAGGACAAGGGAAAAAAACTGAGAGTAGGTTTAGATTAGATATTAGGAAAAAAATCTTTACTGTGAAGGTGATGAGGTACCAGAACAGGTTTCTGGAGAAGTTGTGATTGTCCCACCCCTGAAAGCATTCAAGGCTAGACTGGACAGAGCTCTGAGCAACCTGGTCTAGTGGGAGGTGTCCCTGTCCACAGCAGGGGGGTTGGAATTAGACGATCTTTAAGGTCCCTTCCAACGCAGGCCATTCTTTGATTCTGTGATTTAATGAGAGCTGGGTTGCTAAACACAGACTGTACCTTTGGAAAATCTGCTCTTTGTCACAACTTTTAATTTCTACAAATTTTAGAGTTTTGGAAGTTTTTATTTCCAGGTCATATATTCTGTGACTTTGTGAAGTGAAAAACACTTCTAGTACCAGATGTTTCTTAGCCTCAAAGCTACATATATCCCACATGCTTTTTGACCTGGTCTTACAGAGGCTGTGAAAGCTCACTTTTTTGTTTCTCAATAAATGAAAACTTTCATGCACTGATCATTGTTCCATCCAAAGGCACACTACATATCAGCAAACAAAAGTAATTTTACAGAGAAACTTTTGCATATGGCTTGAAAGAAAACCCATCAAGAATTGACAATGCTAGATGATCTCCCCAGCGACATTCAGGAATAATGCAGTTTCACATTTACATCAGGGACAAAAAGCAACGGACACATTTAAATAATCATTAAAAATTAAATGCCTGACACACGGTAGGTTTCAACCCTGTTCTGTCAAACATCTTCTGGAAATCTTTTCTGGATATTATCTGAGGCCTTCTCATTTGCGTTGTTCATGAACAAAAGCTTTGTAATGGAGGTTCAAGTGTATGTATTATCAGCACAAGGTTCTCTCCAGGGAAATTAAGTGAAAGGATGTTTTTCTTGTCTTCATGTTTGACATTCAGGAGTAGTGACGAGATAAGGTAGGCACAGGAGTCTCTCAGAAAACGACCAGATAGCAATCGCAGCATTTCATAAGGATGTGAACCGTTCATCATCTGCTGGAAAGACACCATTAATGTGGCCTGCTTTTAAATCCAGCACTTCACAAGGCAGCCCATTTTCTAATGTTACTGTCACTTCAACTTTCTCTTCTAAATTTTCTCTCTCTGTTGACTCTTTATTCTTTCTAAAAACAAGAAAGAAAAAATCATCTTATTCTGTTGACCCGCATCACTCATCACGATTCCACAGACAGAAAACTGCATGTTTAGTCAGAAGTTTGTGGTAGCTTAAAGGCATAATCTTGTGCACATCTTTGCTGTTGTAAATACACCATGGAAGATGGGAGGCCCAGATTGGAAGCCCTGGTTTAGTGGTTTGACCTCAGGATTGGGAAAGAGAAAACCCAAAGTAAACATGTTGTAAGTATGTTTTAAATATCATTTCACCTTCTTATTCTGTAAAGTGACTGGAGGGTGCCGAAGGAAAAGCTGGTGCAAAAGAAAAATCAAAAAAATCCCTAAATCTTTTTATTTTACATCAGGAAGGAATGGACTAAACATCTAATCTGACCCTGTAATGTATGTCATAGATCTCACCTCATAATGTGTACAAATTAAAGCATACATTTTAGAAACAGATCAGCTTCAGACTAACTATAGTCTCCAAATGTGTAGGCTTGGGTGCCCTCACACTCCAGGATTATCTTCTCCAGAAGTTAGGCACTCTTAATGCTGCAAATCTTTTTTTTCTTCAAACTTCATTAACATCCACATTCCTACCCAATATTTTATACTTTTATTTTCTAGATCAAACAATTGCACAGCTTTCACTTTTTCAGGCTTCACTTCTCCCAGAAAACATATTAAAATAGTTGCTGAATAAAATTATCTAAATTAAAAAAAATCTAAACCAGAAAATATAAAAATACAACCATAAGAAGATGTAATAGAGAAATATCAGTCAATATGTCACAACATTCCTTTAATTCCAGATTTATTTTGACCTTGAGAACTACTAGTTCATAGTTGAAAAACCTGACGTACTTTCCAGCCTGCGGCATCAGCGGTTTCAGAGGATAAGAAACTCAAAGGTCAGCTGCACTGCTTCTTCCTATCCCACAGCATGTACTGTAACAATCTGACTCAGGACAATCATAAAAATCTGACTCAGTGTAACTGCTAATAAAAGTGATATTAACAATAATAAAATTTTATTGGCCTTTGGAAGATTCTTGGTATTACAGACTTGCTAAAATAAACCTGGGGTGTAGTAGCGGAAACCTCTGACCTCTGGTTGCTGTATCTGCTCTTACACTGATAAAAGGAATGTTCTTGAATACAAAACTGTGGGGACAGAACATAAAAGTTCCTAAAAAGCAGGTTCAAAAGAAATGAGAGGAGTAGAAGATGTGTGGAATTCATTGCCAGAGGAATTAAGAGAAGCAAAAAATTTCTATGAATCCAAGAGGAGACTCAGCAAGAAGTTAAGGGAAGAGAAAACATTGTAGGTAACTCAATACATGAAGACCAAATCCAGCTCAGGAAGGCCCGCAGCTGCAAGTTAGATGCTGGAAAACTAATAGAGGGAAAGACTGTGTGCTTACTCTTTTTTCACTCTTCCCAAGGCAAATGTTTATGGCCTCTGTTGCAGATGGGATTTTGTGGGGGTAGGAGTAGACTTCAGGTTACTTCAGGATAGACAGCAGAGGATGGTCCTGCCCTGGGCATGTGGCAATTCTATTACTGGAGAGGGAGGTGTCCTATCACTGCAATGGCAGGAGAACAAACACAAGGCTGGGAGACAGTGTGTCTGATCCAGCCCACTGGAGAGACAAGGGCTACAGTCACGTGGAGCTCTTCGATCTGCAGGCAGCTGCACTTGCAATTTTACATGTTGGCAGTGATGCACAGTGAAGACCTAATTAAGTTCAAGAAATGACACATGAGTTTAACTCAATATCCTTTACAGGCCAACCATGCTTCCCTGCTACCCTGAGCATAAACAGCCTGAAGCACCTACTTTTGAGCTTATCTGAACTGAGGTATTTAACTGCTACTTTAAAGGCCTTTAAAGATAAAATGCCAGATTTATGAGAAGTCACTGCCATCCTTGGGGCCAGCTGTCCAACACAGATCACCAGGCAACAGAGTTCCCATTATGTAAGCTCTGGTTGGGTTTCCAAGAAAACTAATTACTGGACATGCTCAAGTCTTTGACAACCTGATCAGTTACTTCAGTGTCTGAAAAAGAGATCAGCACTTCTGAAATTCTTTTCTCCCTGTCTGGCTCTTTTTCTCAGGAAACCAAATCACCCAGACCATCCTTTTTTACCACTCCAGTCTTTGCAACAGTAGATGGAAGAAATACGTGCTCACCCTCTCTCTCATTCCACCGTCCCTGCTTGCAGATGTTATTGATGTGAAAGGAGGGTTAGAGTTCAGCCACAGACAAATCTGCTCTGAGGAAAGGTTATATATACAGGCAGAGTAGGGAAACAGAGGAAGAAGTGAAAAGAAACGTAACAACTAAAAGGACAAGAGCATGAGACAGAGAGGGTGCCAAGTGACCTCAGGCAGGCAGCAGCAAGCCTGGTGATATGCCATGTAATTTACACCACACTGAGAGGAAGTGCTCAAATTCTGCTGAGTTATTTTGAAAACACAGGGAGGAAACTTTGTCTTTCAGCATGATATGAAGCATAAATTATTATTTTAGCTAAAAAAATCATAGCTATTTAGCATAGTTTATTTATATCACACTTATTTGAAATGTTCAAAGAATCCCTTTAAGTCAGGCACTATAAGGACACACAGAGCCATGACATGACACGGAGGGCAGGTATAGGCTTCAGGTTCATTATTCTCTGTTTTTTCAGAAGAGGTTTCCTATGTTCAAGGCATGAAATAACTCAGTCCATACAACGTGGTTGTGACAGGGCTAAAACTATCCATATACTCCAAGTCCCTGCCCAGACTCTTTCCCCAACAGCATCTTTCATCTATTCTTTTTTGAATTTTGGGGCTTTTTGAAAATGGAAGGAGATTTTGGAAGTTCATGCAACTCCTGTGAATGCAATACATAACTGAAGGGATTCTGGCTACACTACTAAAGGTTGTCTATGAGAAGCACTTAACCTTCACAATAAGTGTTGTTTTTCTGAGGTCTTTTAACGTTCTTCAAGGTAATAAGGAGGCAGAAAGCAAAAGTTTCTGCAACACACAACTTTTCATATATTAATCCTTTGTTCTGATATATTTGAGGATGCAATCTATCATAGTCAATGATTTTAACACTATCTAGTTGTCATCAGAAATTTACCTTTTCAGTTCTTCTGCTGTTCCTGTATGAATCTATTGCTGAAGACATAATTTTGTGTTAACCTAACCTCTGTGGCAGCCAAAAGCATGGCAGAAGTTGAACTTCTCAACTCAGCTGAAAAATTTCTATTCCTTATGCCCAACTCAGAGCCAACAGAGATGGCAGGATCAAAACTCCACCTACTCTGTGTTGCTCCAACATGCTCACACTAAGGAAGCATGAATAGTCTTCTCTTTTTCACCAGTGCCACCACAGGGCAGAAACTGAGAGGAAAAGAGATTCTCTCTCTCCTACCCAGACAGCAAATACCTAAACTCATGGGGAGATCTGCCCATGAACCTGTGAAGGGCTGGGTGCTTCGGATTCATCAGGTCATGAATGGTAGGTGAGACCCACTGACTGTTCCGTTGAGCAGGCCCTCTTTGGCCATACATTAATCATTATTGTGTTCTCTACTGGGTCTTCTCAAGCTGCAGTAGCAAAAATTTTTTTAGGCCTGCCAGCTTTTGGCACTACTGCCCTGGAAGGAGCTCAGTCACTGCCAGCCCTCTCCCACCTGGTAACTACGTGGGTAGACTGTGAGAGGAGGTTCCCTGTGGCACAACAGACCTTTGGAATAATCACATCAAATGTCTTTGTAAAGCTCATCTCTAGTTAGGTGGCCTCCAGGATCATATTCTGACAGTCCCCATTTCCTCATTACATCCCAGCATTACTAAGGCATCTATACTTCACAGTTAAAAATTTTAACCCCTTTCCTCAGAAAAGGACTGTGTTGTCTTTACCTAGGAAGGGAAGGGGGCACAGCTACAATTTCTCTGAGGCTGCTCTGAAACACAAAACCAGCTCAGCTGACCTAACAAGCCAATATTCCATTAAAATAGAAGAAAGGCTAAGCCGCTTACTTCTTGTGTTTCTGAATCCCTGAAACAATGAGGAAAACAATCCCAGCCACAATGAGACAAAGAACAACACCAAATACAATAAGCCAGACAGGCGTAGAGGGTTCAACGGGAGGTGATAAGGTTGAGGTTATCTTCAGGAACTGCAGTGTTTTGTCACTCAGTAGAAAGGCACTGTTGATTCTGTTCCGGTTCATCCTTCATTTAAAAAAAAAAAAAAGACTATCACAACTCTTTATAAATATATTGGATAAGCTAAAGACACAGAAGAAAATAAAAGAATTTTTCATTAATGTGCTGCAAGTCTGGTAGGACTGAATTTGGTCCAGCATGATGAGTTAAAGGCTTTGGATGTCGTCTACCTTTAGTGGGGGTTGGCCACTTCTACCAGGCAACTAGCAATAGGACAAGAGGACACAGCCTCAAGCTGTACCAGGGGAGGTTCAGGGTGAATAACAGGAAGAATTTCTTCACTGGAAGGGTGGTTAAGCACTGGAATGGGCTGCCCAGGGAGGTGGTGGAGTCACCGTCCCTGGAGGTGTTTAAAAAATGACCGGACATGGCACTTAGTTCCATGGTCTAGTTGATAAGGTGGTGATCAGTCAAAGGTTGAACTTGATGATCTTGGAGGTCTTTTCCAACCTAACTGATTCTGTGATTCTATGATTTTATGATTCTGTGCTGTTGGTAGGATTACACAGACCTTCACTTTAACATAGACCTTGTCAGTAATCCATAAACACCCACCCACTTCCAACATTTTGAACACCAGATTGTCATACGTATTTATCTGAAAAACTGGGAAATACAGATGATATCTGAAGTACAGAATTATTATTTATTTCTGGTTTGGACCATGTGCTGAAGACATAGCAGGCTGCAATTGGTAAGGTTGTCTCCCTTGTCTTGCTCATGCAGCATTCAAGATTAGAATGGGAGTGGCAGATATACCCTGCAATGCTCAGGGGATTTACTTATAGTGCCCCTTGGTCTCTCAAACTGAACCATCCTGCATGTTATGGGCCAGTACATCTGCCCCTGCTGCTGTAGATTTTCTTAGATCCATGAGGGACAGGATACAGCTGGGTCCAAAAGAATCCACTCCTATTGTCAATATGTCCTTCTTCTCTGCAGGATGCAGCTAAAGGGATTTGTATTTTGCACATTTTTCCCATTATGAGAAACTGTAAGTCTGAGAAATACACTTTTTCATGATTAGTACAATTGCTACCCTGTAATGGGATATCTTCACGCATTTTCACTACCTGTAATCATTTGCAGGTATTTCTGAATATTCTGAATCTAAGCAGCCTTAAGAGACTTCAGCAGTATCTTCCATTAGCTGTTTCAAAATATTAAAGATTTTTGAGAAAATGTGTTACACGTATTGGTCCTGAGAAATTCTTTTTGATTGCAGTTGTATGAATTAAGGCAGCTCTTTTTTGTATAAAATTAAATTTATTTACCATACAGAAAGTATTTCCTAAGAAAAGATGTATGGGAAATACAGGTAAGATTTTTCAAAGTTCTTTTCCTGGAAATCATAATGTTTGGCTGTCCCTTAGACAGGAAGTTCTTAGCCTTAATGGAAAGCCAACATTCCTGGAGGGGACTGAAAGCCATGGCATGTTATAAGACTCATTATACGGTAAGCTGTGTGTCATTTAGAAAAGATTTCCATCCTTACTGATATGAAAGGGTCATTGTGAACAGATGAAATAAGCATTGTTCACCCTCATCTAAAGGCTGGAGTTTCAGAATTATATACACATGCAGGCACCTACAAGTGCATTTCATGTGTGTATATGCATCACTATATCTTGTGTATATTTATGTAAGATCTTGACTCTCATAGAGAGCTCTGAAATGGTTTACCTTCCTTTTTATTCTTACTTTGTAGAGACTATCATACAAAAAAATTCTGGTTCACGGCTAGTGTTGTTACAAGCTACTATAGTATGAAGAATTAGAGTAAAGGTTTAGTGTGGAAGCCTGCAATCAGAAGCAATTGAACAGAAAGTATTTTAGTTTTATAGACCATTTTATTTCTTGCTTCTAAATTAGATAGGAATTAAAACTTTTCATAAATAGCATATTGTTTATCAAGTGACAGACAACAGTTAAAAAACCAAACAATAATAGCATCCAATTTCTGTGCCAAACAGGGCACATAAAAGACTTAAATAAATCAGCTTATGCTACTGAATGTATCAAAGAATAACAGAAATGCAAAAACCCCGCATTCCAGCACTCTTACAGAGAGCTTCAGTGAATAAATAATCTGCTTTCTCCACTAATGCTATGAAGCTATTGTTTGGTGTCTCTGTAGGAAATAGTTTAATCTGCTCATAAGCTTAAATTAATCTTTCCAAAAGAAGGCATACTCATTCATCAGGAATTAGGCATTACACCTCCACAGAGATAACATGAATTTTCAAGACAGAGCACAGAATGCCTTAAAACAAAGAGGTCCATTTTCCACCCTGTGCTTGAGAAACGTACATGAGTTATGCTGCTTGTGGGACTCATCCCTATAAACCCCTTGTGAAGGTTTGGTGGACAACTGAAGTCAGACTACCTACTTTTTCTTTTCCCTCATCAGTTCCACATTCTTGCTTTTATTTGCTATAGAGTGTGATTTTTTAGTAGAAATCAAACCGATTTGTACCACACAGTACTTTGTACAAGCAATGCTCAGCTATGATATTGGCTGGCATTCCAGAACCAGCTGGTATGAAAAGAATGTGAGCATAAGATTGTTTAAGCCAGGTTGGGACACAGCCAGCTCTGCTAGGAGTTCACACGAGCTCTTCTCATGTGAAAGCTCAACTTCTAAATTAAATCAGTTGAACTGTTAGTGAGAAGCACTGAAAGGGAGTCTACAGTCATTAGTCCAGGTATAGATGTGCATGTAGCATGAAGTGAAAGTTAAATTACATTAATTCCACCCAGAAAGTGTGTAATTCCATCATCTGAGGGAGAAGGCTCTCTTGCTGGGAAATGTAGCAGTTGGATGAGAGCACTGTATATGCCACACACCGAAGGGTAAATCACAGGTAGGGCTCTGAAAAGGGGCTAAATTTCTTCTGAGCCCTCCAGCATTAACAGAGACTCTTTCCAAAGTTATAATCCCAAGGCTCACATGCTCTGCATTGTGTGGGACTGTTAAAAATTCTCTGATCTTACATTCATGAAAGAGTACTGACCCCTTGGTGTTTTAACTACTTGGATTAATTCATCCTTAAAGAGGAAGTGTGCTCATTCAAACAAGGCCTAGAGAGAGAAAGTATCCTCAGTACGCAAGGAAGAAAAGGTTGCAGAAGCAGTGATTGTACCTGATGGCTGCCTCTACCACACTTCCAGGAACAGTTGTCACATTTTTGGAAGAATCTGTGACCACAAACCAAAATGACACCCGATCTGTCACATTGCAGAGCAGCACATTGGAAATTCTGCAGGTATTAAAAAAAAAAAATAAATTAAAGACGCATGAAAGGAATTATTGAAATATTTTAGATTTTCTTAAAATGTTGCTCTCATCTAAGCCCCCTTGGAAATCTCATTTTTAAAAAAGTTAACACTTAATGATCAAGAAAGAAATATCACTCACAGCATTTCCCATTTCCCAATATGACAAAAAAAATTAAGCTTATTAAGACCAAATGAGTCTTCAAATAAATTTTTGAATCTATTACAAACTTGTATGGTCTTGGACATACATTTAGCATAATCAAATGGAAAAATACATATTTGAACATTAATCATCAGGGCTGTGACAAAGACCATATAATGAGGCAAATGCATTGGTGGACTAGAAATATTGGTTTTGACAGCAAACACCTGAGCAACCAGGCATTGGAAAGTCCCTACATGATTGTCAAGTGAGTGCAGTTCTTCTACAAGACACATTTTGTTGGAAGGAAGATTAGTGGAATTGATGATGAGTTTTTCAACATCTTTGTTCACAGAGCCAGGTAGAGTGGAGGGAACAAGCTCAATTTAGTCATTCTACTGGCCTATGCCTTTTATCTTATGCTGCAAAAAATTATGCATATTATATATTTTAAAGGAAGATTGCTCAGCTTTATGTGAAGTTATTAGTGGAAGGGCATAGGCACAGAGCTTCTCATGGCATACGACGTAAACGGTGTGCGAAACGCCTTTTTTCAGATTCTTACAAACGGGGTTTCTGACGCTAACACTAGTAAGTGGCGGAACTACCAGAAAATCCTCCTGGAATGACATCACCGTGAGTATTTAAGCTCGGGAAGCGAAGGCTCAGACGCGCCGGGGTCACGGCCGCGCCTGAGGGCCGCCACTGACCCCGCCCGGCCCGCGCCCTGCTGGGCAGCGCCACCTGCCGGCCGGCGGCGGGAACGGGGAGCGGGCCTGAGGGATGGATGGGGCTTGGGCGGGAAGGGATCCTGCAGGTCATCTAGTTCCAACCCCTCTGCGCGCACAGGGAAACCTTTCACTAAACCAGGTTGCTCAAAGCCGCATCCAGCCCGGCCGTGAACACTTCCAGGGACAGGGCATGCACGATTTCTCTTGGACTACATGATGCTGTATCTCACCATCCTCATTGTAAAAAATTTGTAATAACTAATCTAAATCTATCCCTTTACAGTTTATAACTGTTACCCCTTGTCCTGTCACTACAGACCTTAGTAAAAAGTCCCTCAATCTCTTTCTTGTAGGCTCCCTTCAGGTACTGGAAGGTGCTACAAGGTCAGCCCAGGGCTTTCTCTTCTCCAGGCTGAACAAAATACTCTCAGCTTTTCCTCATAGGAGAGGTGCTCCATCCCACTAATCATCTTGTTGGCCCTACTCTGGACTCACTCGAACAGGTCGATGTCTCTCCTGTGTTCAGGACCCCACAGCTGGATGCAGTACTCAAGGTGGGGTGTCACCAGAGCAGAGCAGAGGTGCAGAATTCCCAACCTCAACTTGCTGGTCGCACCTCTTTTAATGCAGCCCAGGATATGGTTGGCCTTCTGAGCTGCAAGTGCATATTCCAGAGAGATATGCAATAAAATGGAAAGCAGTGATTTTGCAGAGCTGAAATATTCACTTTTACCTCTCTGGAACTATATCAATTTGGCAAATACAAAGAATTTTTAGGGATAAAAAAGGAAAGCCATCCTCTGGAATTTGAAAAGATGTTCACATGAGTTTGCTGGCAACAGTCAGAAGATAAAAGCAGATTTATTCTTCACAAAACAAAAGCAAAGCACAAAATATACAGGAGGGGAGGGGAAAAGCGTTTACTTTTGGCTGGTGGCTGGCAAACTTTTGTTGACTTCACAGAATATCTAAAACTGTATCTACAGAGGAAATTTACAATCAGGGGAATTTATAACAGTAGGACCCAAAACTTTATGCCATAGTTCCTAAAGCTGCAGTTACTGTGGCACAATCAAATACTGGGCCGGGGGGGAAATTTGGGGGTGTGTTGCCCTACAGACGTTCTTGAAATGGCATCAGTAAGAAAAGTTTGATCCCCAAAGAGAAAGATAAATTTGGTAGAGAAGGATTGGCAGAATGCCCTGTCTTTCTCACTCTCTTTCAGAGACTCTTCAGCCTGGGGTCTTTCCTCAGTGCCAAGGTTTTCAGAATGAGACAGGGCAGTCAGTCACCAGAGGGGTAGCATCTCTCTCTCTCTCTCTAGAACAAACAGCACTGAATCAATTGGGCAGCAAGGATTGCACTAGGATACGTAAATTTTGCTGCCTTTCTGCTCCCTGTTGTGTCTAAAATCCTTGCTCCATTACAAGCATCCAAAACTTGGCTTCACTGCCGCCACTTTTTCATCAGCGGAATCTGAATGCTGTAAATCCTTCCAGGCCCCAAAAAGAATAATACAGCTCACAAGAAATTCAAAGGGGATTGAGTAAACAGCAAAACAGACTGGTTCAACAAGCACCAATGTGGCAATGTCCGTGCAGCAGGTGCACCTTTTTTTTCTCCTGCAGTATTTGCTTGCAGGTCTGATTCACAACATACAGAAGCATTGCAACTGTGCAGTCACACTGTACAGATCTGAGAAACATGGCTTCTTCATGTACTAATCCACTGCATTTGTAAACATATATGTAGACATCTTTTTTTTCCTTAGCAGTTGATAGACTTTTTACATGGAGATTACGGGAGACTGTTATCATCAAAATGACAAGATCCTGGTTTGGTCTTATGGCATCACGGCAAAAGTCCAAAATTGCATTTCCTTTAATATACGCAAGTGAACACCAGTGACTAGAGTAGAGGAAATCCTGGCAGTTCCTTGCACTAAAACACCACCATTGTTCCTTATGGAGATTTAAAGGAATGTTTAGGGGTAAGAAAGAGCTACTAAAGAGCCAAAGGGAGCCAGGTGCCTACAGTGGCCATTAGGTCATGAAAGAACCACAGTCCTATGGCTTGAGTGCCTGTCTCCAGCTCTCTCAAAAGCATCACAGCTCTTCCAACCCAGGGCTGTGCAGCTACTTCTGCAAACGAATGTTATTTTCTTCCCTTTCATGAGCAGCAGCCACAGAATCACCTTGATGTAACAGTTTTAACTCTAGCAGCTTATTTTGTTGTTATAAATGGTCACAATATTTTTAGTATCAAAAATAGATGGTTTTAGGAAGATGAATAACGTTGATGAATTTTTTGCTGGTCACTTTGGAAGAAAACTGCAGGTTTTTTAATCTATAAATGAGAGGAAGATGTACCAAAAGTAGATTCTGTTACTTGAATGAAAGCAAATGCCATTACATTCTTTCTGCTCTAAAGATTAACTGGTCTCACACCCAAAAGAGATGCATATTATTTCAAATGAGTCACAGATTAGAGAAACACAGACTACAGACAATAATTTTTTAACACTGAGAGATCAAAGGTTGGCTGACGTAGTTCATGACTATATGTATTAAGAATCAATTGAAAGCCCATATGTAAAAGGAAATAAAGGGGGTTTAATTCTCCACTGAAAAAGAAGTATTTATTTGATCTGTATTAATAGTTTCTGAGTTATTTGATGGATCGTGTCTTTCTTCTGTTTCACACAAACTTGAAAATTTGACAAGCCTTTCAAACATTAAACACTGCTCCGTGATTTATTAAATTTCAGTTTAGAAATTAACTTTAGAGAACTCGAGGTGTAACATGCCATTCTGTCCATTCTGCATTGGGTCACTCAGTGGTTACACAAGGGCAACAACAGCATCAACTGCTGTTTGTGGCAACACATTCAAATGTTTGTCATCACCAGTTGGCTTTTATCCAGCTTCAGAAGCCTCACAAAATATCAAATACCTTTGAATATCAAAAACTATGGGACAGACTGCAACAATGGTTATCCTGATCCACCAGACAAATTATTCTGGGGCCTGATCCAGTTTGCTGAAGTTAATGGCAGTTGGTCTCGTGGGATATAGTCGTGGCTGTGAGTTACTTGAGGGCTGTGGGTGTGTTAGAAATTAAGGGGATATTAAAGGGGAAGTTTGTCACATCCTGGCTATGGCCATGTGCATAATGTATATCCTGGCAGAACCAGTATTTAGTTATGTAAAATAATGGTGAATTTTTCAAAATCTTCAATTAAGCAGATGCAAAATTTGGGTAAGTTTAAATGCTACCAGAATGTAGTCACAGGCAATTTGTTCTTTTATGACAGAATAATTGGTCACTGGTCTTTTACGGCTCCTGAAGAAAATATGTTGGCATTTGCCTGCAAAAGCTCCTGTAGTGAAATGCAATTTATTTGCCAGTAGTGTAATGTAATTTATTTGCCACAAGCTCCTGCTTCTGCCTCCCTCTTCAGCACACTGCAAGCCCCTGCCGCTATCCTCACCAGCTATGCCACAGTGCCATTCCTGTGCACAGCATGCTGCTGTGTCCTGAGTGCCCCCACACCTCCATGCCCACTGCAGAGGGGATGGAGAGGGAGGGCACTCCTGCCTTCCAGCTGTCAGCCACACGGGTGGGGAAAGGGGGGTGTTATTTCCAGCACATCTAACAGGATGGAGGCTTTCACAGCCTTCCTGCTCCCATGTAACAGGTAGATTATTTGAGGTGTATCGGGAGGTTCATCTGGCCTCTCTGTCCCTGAACTGGGGCTCTGGGGTCCCTTGGGATTTGGGAAAGATCTGTGAATAGGATACTCCTCAATCTGTTGCCTAGAAGTTGTACCAGATCTCAGAGCTGCACAACTGCCCTTCAGTTGACATGCTGTCTATACTGCTGACTGTAAAGGCACCTCTAAGTCCTAGATGAGTTATCAGTTATACCTCCAAGGTATACCTCAACAAGTTATACCCCATGAGGAAGTCAATGCCATCTTAAAAAGAGCTAAAGATGCCCAAAGCTGGCTTCTTCTGAACTGAAGACTTACTGACTTCTTTTCCAAACAACTTAGTAGCAGGAAATTATTTATGTGTGCAAGACCACCTCCAAACTGGAGTAACACTGATTCATCATATTTGTCCATAGGAAAAACTGTCTGGGTGGAAAATTGAATTGAGTATTCTATGATTTTCCAGAGTGGGTACAGATAACTGCCATTAAAAATTTAACTCCTTTCATACCGGCTTGATTTTTTTTCCATTCCTGCACCAACCCTTCTAGTATTATTTGAGTCTGCAGAAAACCACGGTGCTTGAAGAAGAATAAGATCACTGGCTTCTGACACAGGTTTTTTGCTTTGTGAAAGTACCATGACTTTGAAAGAAGAGAATAATTTAAAAAAAGGACCCAGGACTATAGTAAGTATACAAAAGCAAATCTTTATGGATCAGATGCTGGATGAAAATGCTGCTAATTTGAAAACCTGAGAAAAAGCCCTACAGAATAATTTGTAATTAGCTTGTATCTTGAACTAATTTTTTAAAGTGTTAATTTAATTGGTTTAGTAGCACACTTGGCTGTTTTTGTTAAGCTTGGTGGAATGGCTCTCTTGCTCAAAGGAGACCACTTCTGACGAATTAAAATGAAACAGCAAGGAATCAAATATTCCTGTGACATGGAGGAGGAAATCCCCTTCCATTTAACAGAAGTGCAGCAGCCACAATAATCATCATGTGACTAAAGTTAACTAATATCTTTGCAAATGTGCAGCATGTTTCATCTGATGCAATGACATCCTGAAGGAGTTTTATTTTTAAGTAAATTGAGAACCTTATCCTCATTAGCCTACCAGAACCCCAAGTCTTTTGTTTCAAACTGAAAAATGATGAAAAACACTAATGGAAATGCACTTACAAGGTTTTTCATTTAAGAAAGATAAGAACACACTGAAAATACACCTAGCTACTAAATGGTCCGTCTAATCTGGTATCTAATTTCATAGAGTAGCAAGGATCAGAAGCCTGAGAAGAATATTCAATACTTCAGGGTAGATTTAGTCCCAAAATCAATTAAAGGCTGATTTATATCTGAACTGCAACATCTGAAACTTCTTGATGCCAAGTAACTCAACCGCTGTGATCCTGGGGATAGAAACACCCGGCAGAGCACAGCACTGGCAGAGCTGTCCACCTTCTGGGTCTCTGAGTCAGCTCATCTTCAGCATCCTACTGAACCTGAGCTCTAAGATAGCGTGCACCAAAGCTGTTTAGTCAAAGATCTGCACTGTCTCTCTTCATCTTCCAACATGTCCCTTCGCCTCCTCTAAGTACGGTCCCCAGAAGGTGTCAAATTTTACTGCCAGGTTCTTCTTAAAGTGAATAGGCACCATCCCACTGAGATCCACAGCTGTGTCATTTCACATCAACTGGGATACTGGTTCAAAGATTGAACATTGCTTAAGACAGAGAAAGTGTGATGTTTAACATATATCGGGGTGTCAAAGAAATATACTGGAACAGTCTGCTTTTAGAATCTTTATAATGATTTCTACAGTTCAGCACAGCAGAGAACAGTCACTACATGCAGCATGGTTCATATGCAAAAGGCAAATCTGAATAGATGCTTACTGAGTTGTGCTCTTGCTGGAATATCTTCTCATTGCAAAAGCCACCATTGCTTTGAAGAGGTACTCTTCATTAGCATCCCAGGCATACTGTAAAGCAAGATGGAAAATAATTAGTTTCAGCACCAGTGCTGGCAGTACAGGGAGGCAAAAGAGTCATTGAACTTGAAATGCTGTATCGATCAAGAAAGTTAATAAATTCTCTGGTTGTGCTAAGAAAATAAATGCCCATTATTTAGTATGCACAAAGGACTTTTTCGAGCAGAAAAAAAAAAGTACAACATAAACTGTAATATAAATAATATAAACTGTAAAGAATGTTTCCAAAAACTGAATTAATCAAATGTTTCTGAAAGCTGACCAAACCAGAGATGTAAAGTTTCTTGTACCAAAGACTAGGTATATTACTAGAATTCTCCCCACACAGCTGCACCCATGGCCTAGCCTCTTTTGCTGGATAAACTCAGTTAAAGTAGAAGGCTTAAATCCACTCTCAAGGACTATTTGGCTCTGCCTAAGAATAAGTTAAAAAAACCCTAGTGTTGAAGGTAGTCTCTGGGAGTTGGACACCAGGACACCAGGATTTACAATGAGATTGCTGCAGGCGGTCCTTGTAACAAGACGACTCAAGTACATTACAAATTGCTACATTGTATATGAGACAAAAGAAAGAAAATAGCATCCTTACTACTTCAATAAGTAAAATACAGGCTCCAAAAACTGGTCTCTGTTGTCTTGATGAAAAATCACGCTTCCGTAATTTAAGTTTTTTGAGACAGCTTCACTGGGTTCCCCTGGGCTTTCACTCACATATGCAATTCTAATGACCTGTAAGAACTGCATCTATTACATTTTTATAGCAGGAGCCATGACTGAGGGATGCTGATTGAATTCCCCCTTTCACCTTTCAGCAGATTACAAAGATTATTAGTTCCTTGGAATTATATTAATGGAGGTTAGAAACAGCTTTCCTCAGTCAATCAGAACACAAATCTAATCTTTAATTTTCAGCATTAAAAAGTCTGATCTGTAATCGTCCAAACCAAAACCAAATGGTGTGGATACTTAACTCTGTTGACATCATGAACCTACTTTTTTTATGGTCCTTTATTACATTTTCAAAAAACAACAGTGTACTTTAAAAAGCAGTAAACAGCATTGCCAAATCTTAATTCTGGTTTTTAAATTCTGATTTTGGATGCATGGAGCTGCAATCTCTCCACAGAAAAAAAGGGAATCCAACTTTCAGGTATCAGCAGCCCTCATTTTACACTGTCAAACTGTAGACTGGGAACCTAGGCAGGGCCATCATTTAAATGGCAGAAAGTCATACTGATCATGTTTATCATCCTTAGACAAAGGAAGAGTTGTGAAATGGGCTCTCTGAGATGTGGTAAGACAGGGGCAACAAAGCTGAGGCAAGAGACAGCTTGAGCAGCACTAAAATCCAGCTGCAGTGCTGAGAACCTGGGTTCTGACTCACCCCTCTTGTCTTGTGAATGGAGCTGTGATCATACTGTGATAATGCATGCCAGCCTGGGAACTTCAACTGAAAAAAACCCCAGAAACTCTTTGGAAAAAATTATAAAAGCCTGTACTTTGATCCCACTGCTCTGAAGAAAACGTGACAGTAATGAGAGCAACTATTACTAAAAGAAAAAGAGATCATTTAATAGAGGAATTAATACAGATGGGAGCCATAAAACTATTTATCATCATTTTAAAGACATCTGTATTTAAACCATGAAGCACAATTTGCAGCACTAAAAGGGAAGATCTTTTTTTCTGCATGTGGCACTATTGACTGAATCCCTACATGCCATCTGCAGTCTTTGAGAACAAGTCCAGAAGGACAAAAACAAATCATTTGTTACCCAGTGGATTAAAACAGCTGTAGAGATAATTTAATCAGTTGTCTTGAAAATGGATGATGATGAAGCACACTTCATTTCATGCTTACATGGACACAAATGCAATGCAGCACTACCAAGTACATGTACTTGATATGTTTATGTTTAGTGCAATGCATATATACATGCACAATTTGTCACAGTCTAGTATTCCGTTTTCGTGAATAATGTGTTTGCCTAGGACTTCTTCAAGTCAGAGTAACAAACAGGGTATCTCAGAACAAGGAAAATAATTTGCAGTGAGGAATTCAACCCCGAGCTGAAAGAGTAAGCACTTGAAAAAAAAGACAGAATAAACAGAAAGCTGCATGAAATGGGGGGAGGAGACTGGCAGAGAAAGCTCAGAAGAAATCGGGGGTCTGCCTGAGTGAGGAGAAGATGCTGCAGACAACCTTCTGGGTAGAGGGGCAAGAAGCCCCAGGTAAATGGAAATTAGACAGGAAGTAAAGGAGATGGAGATGGCTGTGGGCTCCATATGAACAAGAACTTCTATACATGACTGCATGAAGTAATATGCACAGAGGAGGCAAAATAATGAAGAGGAAAAGTAAGGCAAGAGCACCTTAAGCTAACAAACTGTATGAACTCAGGATAAGTGGGCATGAATTGCCAGAAACAAGTTTCTAATCAGTAGCTTTCTCCAGTCAGAGAGGTGTAAAGAAATCTAGAATTATTTGTGTTGGAAGGGACCCCAAAGATCATCTAGTTCCAATTCCCCTGCCATGGCCAGGGACACCTTCCACTACACCTGATTCGTTCTAATAAGGGGCTTTATATCCTCCAAATGCAAAGGCCTGGACTGCAGCTGATGACTGAGGATGTTCCTATGCAGTGCAGCTACTGCTGCACACTTTCTGCTGATATACAGGAAATATTAAATATCACTTGCAACCACACGCTATAAACATAACTGTTATCAATGAAACATTACATGATGGTACCAGAACTATTAATGTTTACCATCTTCATTGCTCTACGAAGGAACCAATGCAAAGAGCTTGGCTCAGTTGCACTTGCCATCCTTTACACATTAAGAAGGAGCAGAATTAGACATAGCTGACTGTGAAAGCCAGTCTTAAATGCCTGTTACTGAAAGAAGAAGATGATGAGGTAATGGGTGAAAGACAATGAGTGTAGATTGTTGATGGGGTGAAATGCTATAGTAGTGCTTTGAGGAAGACAAAATTTGAGTAGAATGAGATTATAAGATTGCTCTGAGCAACCTGATCTGATTTCAGTGCTGACCTGGCTTTGAGCAACAGAGGACTAGGGACCCTTTAAGATCCCTTCCCTCCTGAATGGTTCTGTGTTTTAACTAGACAGCCATTCAGACTGCAGTGTGGCTACGGACACATGGACACACGAACACACTTCCAGGTCCCATCTGGCAGCAAGACACAAGGTGTATGTCAGCCTTTCTCCTCTTCTCCCCTACGCTAGAAACAGCCTGAATACATGAGCCAAGAGGGAAGTGCACCTTCTACTTCACCTGGCTGTGTCCCCTGAGGTGCCAGCTCTTCAACTCTTACAGTTAAAATGAGTGGTGACACCAAGGTACACATCAGTACACATCACTTCTTCTCACTCCCTAGTTGCATCTGTCCCTTTTGACTTAATTCTCCACCCCTCTGCTGACTCCATGAGTAGGAAGCAACTAGTCACTAGTGGCTAATCCAGAAGCCACTCACAAAGTTAAAACCATCCTCAGAGAGATTCATAAATCACTTTCCATTTAGGCCTAGAGGCACTATGTTTCCTCTCATCGATCAGCAAGCAATGCTCTGTCAAGTACACCCATCATTTGCAAATAAAATTATAGTAACTGAACACTTACTGCATTTGAGTTGCTCTTTCCAGCTCCATTGTGATAAGACCTAAATAAATACACTAAATGGAACTCCCTGCCTCAAAGTACAGCCTACCTTGTGAACAAATTAAAAAATTGTGTCCTGTTTTCATCAGCCTCACACAAAGCAGATGGAGTGCACTAAACCATGTGAAAAGCTGCACTAACTGATTTCCTATGCCTCTGAATGTACATTGGAGCTATCCTGCCAGCCCTGGAGCAAAATTCCCACAGTATCAGGGCTTTCTGTTATTGTGTAGCTTGAAGTAACTTGGAAATGAACGAAGCGGGGCATGTCCTACTGTGACAGTATTACACTTTTCTTTGCTAAAATAAATAAATAGCATTAAAAAAAGTAAGATGTCCCAAATTCCAAAATGAATTTCAGTTTCATAGTAGTTTCAGTTTTCACTTTCAGTCATTCGCAGAGAAGTTTGCAACGGCTGTGAAAAGGAACTGCTACTACCTGTGCATTTAATAAACTTCATTATTTGTGGGTGATCTTGTGTGGCATCATACGACTTTCAACTAGTTGGTGTTCTAAAATGCTGTTCTTGATTGTCCCATTCTTAGCACTTTCACACACTTTGTGAAACTCTGTTATATGAAATAAATGACTCTCCACAAAAAAAATAGACTCCTCAGTTACTGCTTTTTTTCTTGCAATAATAAAGGGCCTTTAAAGGTAATGATTTATTTCATACCCTTTTTGAAAAAAAATTTTAAAAATGACAAATGATCAAACAAACTCCCCTTATTTTACTAGAGCTAGAGAACTAAAAAGCACTAAAAAAGGGCATTACTGGGAACTGCAATTTTCATTCTTTGCTACTATGTTGAACCAAGATTAAAATATTAGCAGTTATCTTTAAAAGGAGCTTCAATAATTTTTTGACATATTTTCAGCCATAGTATTATACTATTTTTAATAATTTTTGAAACAAACCAGTCTTGTATTACTGTTTAATTGAACTCTCTCCAACTAAGAGAACTGATTTCAATACAAATTTCCAGACATTTAATTTAGCAGGTATCTTGAATAAATCTTTGCTATTTGTCTGGTTTATAAAGTTATCAGTGAAACTTAGGTCCCTGCTAATGTTACTTTAAATTACCTGATACTTCAGGGTAATTTTAGAACAGCTTCTATAGTCATAGGGAGTTTCTCATATCACCAATCTCTTATAACATGTAACCTACTGCTTTTTGTTTCCCAGGGCTCATAACACAATCAGACACCACACTTCCAGTGCAGATGACTGTCCAAGACATTTCATATCTAATTTTATGCTGAGCCTGTTAACATGCTGCAGATTTGTCCTAAGTATTCAAAACTACCAGCAAAGTACTGGGATCTGACATATTAAACAGTGCCTTAGATCAGGAAGGATCATTCTGTTAACTAATGTCTCAATCTCTTACATATATCTCCTAGTACTCACACCAGTACTTCTGCATTAAGCCCAAAGATCTGAATTAAGCCAAAGCAGTTCAGTCCTCATGAGACAAGCCTGTGCACCACAGGCAGAGAAGAAAGGCCACTATCCAAAGCCCTCCATTAGTAGGGAATTGATGAGACATGCTTGAATGATCTCTACAGTTAATGCTTGTCTGAGAGCCTGATATAAAGTCCCATTTCATAAAGACCTAAAAATCTTTTCCTGCTTCTCTTCCCAGACATGCTTGACTTTACAAGTAGCACTCTCTAGCAGAAGTGCTTTTCCCAAAATACAGACTTACATTTATGCAGCACCTCTCATGCATAAGGTGTAACATTCCTACTGCTTTTCCAGAGGAAAAAAAAAATCTTTGACAGAAAATTATCTTTATGAACAGGCGAGCTTTATACTTCTCTTAAAGGATGACATTTTAAGGAATGGGCTAGTCAAATGTCAAGAAATGAATCCCTGGATCATGATTTCAGCAAGCTATTACAATTAACACTGTAAAACAATTTGCTTGTGTTGCCTCCAGAAATTTTACAGTATATATTACTTCTATTTTGGCAGATATTCAGTTAGGAAGAATATGTGAAGATGCTTTACTTACTGCATTGTCCCCCAAAGCTGTTTTGATGCTAATCCGTACTTTGAAAGCATTCTGTGCATCTGACACAAAGAGAAAAAAGCAAACATATATTGATAGTCAGCAAAAATAGGATTTTAAATAATTTACTTCCCTAATTATTTCATGAATGGCAGCTTCTAAATGTGTCTTAACAGATCACCTGTATAAGAGAACAGAAGTTACTAGCACGAAAAAAGCCCTACAGAGATTTACCATGACCTCTTTAAGTGAGATCAACTTCCATACTTAATTTGCAAACTCCTAAAAGAAGTGAATGCTCAGCATTTCAATCCTCAAATTGAAGACTACAGTTAAAATAAAAATCTGAGAAGCTGGCAGCTTTGTAGTCATAAAGTGATACCTACTTTACTTGGGGAACGACGGGAATCAGCTCCAAATCTTACCTGGTTTGCAGAGCTCAGCATGAGCAATAGCAACTACAGAGAGTATAAGCAGCAAAGCCCGTAACATTCCGTCAGCATGGAAAGGTTGAGGCAAAAAGAAGTCGAGTCTCCCCTGTAAAGCACTCTTAAACTTTCTGTGACCCAGGATTAAAGCATCAGGAGCACAAGTGAGCAACCAAGTAAAAGGTTTAATAATTAACCCCCGTTATCTTAGCTAAAAACAGGCACTAGAAACAACTGTCTTCTCCTAGTTATTTACTACGTTTCTCTGTAACAAAAAAAAAAAAAAAGACATAAGTTTTTAAATTTCCTTCTTTCTTTTTAGAAAAATACAGAATGTCACAGGGCGCTCCAGGCCAACCTTTTTTTTCCCACAGCTGCAATGTCAGACAGACACACAAGATGTCTGTGGGATGTCACACCAGAGGAGCCAGCAACTGTGACCCACAGCAGCTGAATCGGACAGTTGCCTGCCACCAGATCCCAAAGGAAGCTGCCACCTGTCTTTCATGGGAAACTGTCTGGCCCCACAGAGGGTCCTTGAGGATAAAGGAAGACTGGGCACCCTTTTCACTCCTCCAAAAGAAAGGTGTGATGAATGCAGAACCCTCAGCCCCAAAAAACAGGGCTCTGGATTTGCCCCTCACTTGCCTTTGAACTCACAGCACTTCTGAAGGGTCACTCTGGTGGGCACAGTGCTGTGTCCCCCCATTTCCACCCTGGTCCCACTCCTGCATCCTGGCTCAGGAGCTGGTCTGAGCCAAGCAAAGCAAATACCTTGTTCTACTCAAAAACACCCCGCATCTGAGGCATAGCTTTGCATGAAAAGAGTTGTTATACATATGGAGAAATACGTCACAGGCTTGTTACAGTAGGAACGAGAACAAGAAAAGGTGCAATAAAAGGACATGAGAAACATGTTGAATAGGGACATGTTCTTGTTTTGTAGACATGATATGCTGTGTATACATATAAACACAAGTATGGAAATATTTTAATTATGCACTCCACACTATTAATCAAATGTTTACCAAGACAAATAAACAAATGTGGAGGAGAAACAATGCAGAAACTGAAATGCATTGCAGGTACTTGAACAGTCTTTGCAATCTAGGCAGCCAGACAGGATTATTTTATTCCACTCTGCTGCTGTACTCCCCCTGTAGCCATTTGATTAATGATTAGTTCCTAAATTGAAGATTGCTTCAGAATTACTTTCAGTTGGTCCTTTAGCACTTAGAAGTGTGTCTGGAGACTGCAAGCCCAAAGACCTCCACATGAATGACAAACAGTGAGAAAATTTGACTTTACTGTTGGACTGAATTTATGGAAAACAATAACCAGTATTTACTACGTTAGAATAGCTGGACTTTCAGGTAACAGAGAACTTAACTGTTTCAGTAATTTAATCTTATTTTTAGAAGCCACTGTTAAAGGACTTGATATCCCATCTTTAAAAGTCATTACACCAAGCTGATTCCCAGGTACCTCTTCGGTCTCACTAGGCAACCAGTTCTGAGTACAAAACTATTGGATATATTATCTACTTAGATGTTCAGTCTATGCCTATGAAAACAAAAAAGTGATGCATTAATTTCTAATGACACCTTAAATTAACATGTTGTATGTACACACATCAAAAGGAGAGTACTGAAAAATGTACAGATGTATGAAAGACTATCCTGTAACATTTGTAACTTAAAAAAACTTAAAAGAATGTGAATGCAATCAGTTTCATGGTAAATTCATTTGCATTGCTTCAATAACGAGCATGAAAACTTTTTACCTTTGGGGAAAACACTGAAGAACTTGGGAAGAGAGGAGAAATGCCAAGTACTCTTTCCCTGCTGCCAGAAGGCAAATGGAACCGAGTGTCAATACAGAACATCACCTCTTTTCCCCCCTGTAAAACACCATAAATCAGTTCTTTCCCTCAGAATCACATGGAGCCGGTGTCAAAGTACATCGAAGGCACACAACGCCCAGCAGGAACAACGCAGAGGACATGACTGGATTCCCTGATCAGGGCTGCTGACTTCCAGCCCGGATGGCTGATTTTCCCCAATTTATCTTGCTGGCAAGAAGCAAGACAAATGATTTTTTCCAGCAGAGAGGGGAGGAGGCCAGGGGAAGCAGCAGTGTGATAAACACCCTAGCTCAGAGCTCACAGGGTGCACATCGTGCAGATGATATATATGTGCACAGCAACTTGGATGTGTGCCAAATGCATCCAGCTGAAGGGCCCTGTGCTTATCCAGCTGTATATGCACAGAGCACTGCACATAAGCAACTGATTGCTGCACATCTGTAAATTGTTTTTGAAAGCCAGCATGTTTTTTAAACAAGACAGGTGGACATGCAAGGTGTTAGTAAGAAAATAACTTTTCTTCAAGTGGAAATGGTATTTTTAAGTACTGTCTTAAAAAGCACTGTAACTTTTCAGGCTACAAATGGAGTATATCTGCATAATCTAAAAAGACAGATGGTTTGTATCTCTGTAATAAATGTACCTGCATGGATAACCTTCTGCCCAGCCTCTCTGCTCCCATTTTGGCCAGATATGGAGCACTGTTAAAGCATGTTTGCATTTGTTTGCCACTGATTAATCAATCAGGCATCAGTTTGCTTGAACAAATAATCTACATGCACATATGCAATGTATGTTTTCAACTCTCTACTTTGTGAGGTACTAGATTTTTAAGTAGTTCCTCTTTTATAGTACCTTTGTTTCTCCTAACTACTGTTGAGCTACAGGTCATAGCCATGAAGAATTTCATATACAATTTGCATTCCAGAAACATCACTGAACTAGTGCAAAGAACAATTTCCCTCGTTGTGCTAAATGTATTTTTCTGCCTGGTTGAAAATAAGAGTATCTCTATAATTTTTTTCAGCACTTGTGGCCTCCAGAAGTTCATCGATTATCTGTACATATATATTTAGTAGCATATATACCTAACTACCAAACAAATCAGGAGAGGACTGAAATTTCAAGAAACATGTGACTCGGTAAAGCAAACAAACAGACCCCTTCCATCTTCCCCATGTGATTAGCAAAGTACTTTTTCTGCTCCTTTCAATGTCTTTGAAATGGAAAATCCCAGGCAAGTAAAATATTGATAGCTATCCTATAAGTTAATTAACAGCTATGGCCAAACTTAACCTCAGTTTTCAAATTTGACAAATTAACAGTTTTAAACTCTGAGGAAGTTAATCTTTAGTCTTAAATAGTTGTGTTCAACTCTTATGAGGCAGGAGTCAATGTGTGTCATTCATGGAAATGTACCTGGAGAACTGCAGACCCAGTTGTGCAGAGCACTGTGCAGTTCCCCAGGGGCAATGGAAATGACAAACACTGTATGTCTTCTGCAGGCTGCAGAAAGTGATGAGATTGGGATCTAAGCAAATCTCAGTATCATCTGATAGACCAGGCTGGCTGACAAAGGTCCAGCCTGTCTCATTAAATGTGAATTTTTCCAAAAGGTTTTAGGGGAACAGGGTGTTGAAGGAGGACTGCCACCACTGTAATCACTGTAACAGTGCAAAAGTGACTTAAGTTGTCACAGAGTTTTTATCAGTGCTCACAGAAGCAGACAACACGTGAGAAATTGTTAACCCCTTGAGACAGTCATGCTGGGGGGGGGGGGGGAAGGACGTGCTCTCCAGCATTCACATGTATCACCTTGGAAAGGGCACTTGGCAGTGGAAAGCACTCAGAACAGCCTACAGTGGGGCTGGCATTGAGAGTGAGCAAACAGAGGGGGTGGGGAAGGGTGGTGCTACCACTTCACTATTGTGTTTATAGTACAACCTACAGCTCTGAAGTGTCAATGAAAACTGTCGCATCCCAAACCCACACTTCCTGGATGTTTCCTAGTTAACATGTATTTTCTGAGTCAGACTGCCATATCCCACATGTTCTCTTATGTTCATTTTCTTCAGCTCGAAAAAAAAGAGATGTACAATTCCATGAGGAAAGTACCACTCTTCTCCTGAAGTATACAGCAAATATTATGTAAGGCGAGGACAACTTTTACATAATCTATATGCTTATAAAATGTATCTTTCCTTTTTCCACACAGGGCTTGGGCAAACAAGAGTGAACACTTCTTATCTGCTTATGCCAGTCCACAGTGATGGAAATACACGAAATGGAAACCAGAAGAAGCACATGGAAAGGAAGTGCAAATGTGTGCCAGATGGAGTCTCTGCACTCTCGCTCAGATCTGCTCTACTACACATGTAGAGTTCGGTGCACACATCTTGAAAGACATGCAGAGATTTATAATGCAACGTGGTAAGTAACTTCAAGTTGTAAGATAAAAGTTTCTCTGCTCTGGGCTATTCCATGAAGTATAATCTGTACATCCAGTACCGACCTTGTCATGAGGAGGTTCACGTGACACTGTACCATGCAAGCGTATTTTTGTTTAGGAAATACAGAAGAATAAGTTCCACAAACTTCTTGAAGGTGTTCACCAAAATAAACTATGCTTGTAAAGGACTGTGGTCTGTAATTCCAGTGCAAGGACTAACAGCTATGGACAGGAATGCTACATTACTTTGGATATGTGAATGGCTCTTGCCTGGAACGGTCATATGTTTTTCTTTCTTACACTGTATCAATTAAATTGTATGAAAGTCTGTGCCTGGACTTGAACATAAAGCTGCTGTATGTGTATAAATTAATAATAAACAAAACGGAAACAAATGTAATTATACCGTATTCCTATTTTGAAGAGGATGACAGCTTTTTTCAGAATCATTATGGATATTTGTAATAGCTGTTTTGTGTTTTCTTAAAAAGAGATCCCATTTTTCACTATTGAAATATATAAGCTCAGATGGTGTCTTCCCCAAGTACATTGGGAAAATGCCATGATGAAATGTAGCACACCAATCAAAGGAATGATTAAATTTCTCAATTTTGACTCATACATAGTTTAAGGGAAGGTTAATATTATGGCACTTACTCTGTTGAAAGGAGGATGAAAAGTTATAGTTGCAATTTCCTAATGAAATAAGATTATGGAAAACATCTGGTTGCTTTTGCCAAAATTTTCATGGGTGTCAATGGTTCAACAGTTGTAAAATGCACAATACTGCCATCTTCTGTAT